TGTGTGTGTGTGTGTGTGTGTGTGTGTGTGTGTCTGCTGGGGGCCTGCCCCCAGCCACACCTTGGAGGCTTGGAGCAGGTTCCCCTCTGTGTTGATCTCTCAGGCTCCTGGCCTCACCTGCATGTTGTTCTCTCCCTTGAGCTGTGGCCAGGGTGGGGGTGCTGCCTGCGGGCCGCGCTTTCCTGCTCGCAGATCACCGTGGCGACCCCGGAGCAGGCCCTGCTCCGTGCTGCCTGCAGGCCGCGCTTTCCTGCTCACTGCTCACTGCAGTGACCTGGGAGCAGGCCCTGCTGGGGGCTGCCTGCGGGCCGCGCTTTCCTGCTCATGGATTGACCCGCAGCGGGCGGATTGCTGCGGCAACCCGTGAGCAGGCCCTCCTGGGGGCTGCCTGCGGCCGTGCTTGCCTGCTCGAGGGCTGCCCAACCTGCTCGCAGGTTGCCGAGGCAATGCCACCAGCATCCTGCCCCGCGGCTATGGGCGCCACCATCTTTGTCGCAGAGTTGCAGTTAATTTGCATATTACTCTTTTATTAGATAGGATATTTATCATGGCTTGAAAGTGACCACCAAAACCTATCCCCACAAATCTGGGGAAAAGGCTTTTCCTGAATTGTACTAGGGACCTGGCAATGACAACCAATTACACGTTTGCTGTTTATAATGAATTAAAGGGAAGAATGATTAAAAGAAAGAAGGACTGTTAAAGCATTATATGCTTTGCATTGTTACATCATATCTGACAGTGACTCTTGTTGATGACTTATTTATTCCTCAACTAATTCTTCCTGAAGACTCTTCATGGTTCCAGGCAACGTGCTAAGCCATGAAGCTAACGACAGAAGACACAGTCCTGCCTTCAGGTTACTGTCAGTCTAACTGTAATCAATACTATGATGAAGGGAAGGATAGACCGTGGGGGGAATTCATAAGAGAGGATGATATTACCCAAAGCAGGGAGCCCTGGGAAGGCTTTCTTTTGGAAGGATGACTAGAAAAGTATTTTAGTTAAGTGGATTTGGTGGTCAGTGGTGTGAGTATGTTGTGTGCAAAAGGTAACAATACTTTCAAAAGCCAGGAAGTATGTGTGAGAGAGCCTGTCTTGTCCAGGAATTGAGAGAGCGGTTGGAGCAATGGGTCGTGGGTAGAGGGAGTCAGATGCTAAAGGTGGTAAAGGTAGGGCTGGACCGCAAGGTTGCTTTGACTTCATCAGTGGGTAAAGTGGAGTCACCGAAGGGCGTTAGGTTGGGGAGTGGCATTGAAATGAAAGGGTCTTTGCCTGCTCTTTGCTCACTTCTTCAGTGTGGACTTTCAGGAGTCACAGCCTGGTATTTCACCTGGGTCCCCTGTCCTAGATGCTAAGCTGGGAGACTTTTGAGAGCCCCTCTTTCCTGGTCAGGGATGATCCCTCGCCTGGCAGAGTCCACAAGGAGTCCACACTGTCCACAGCTCGCATCGAGGTGCGGGATCAGAGAAGCCTTCCTCACTGTGGGGTTCGGCTACCTGGGTCTCACCAGGTACCAGGGACCTGCTGGGAAACAGGATTTCAGGGTCTCCTCACCTTTTGTGCCCAATTTCTGCAGTGGGAGCTAGAAGAGCTGGGAAATCTCCCCAGAGCTGTACCATGACCGGTGTCCTCCCCTCCCCAACCACAGTTCTTCCCCGAAGAACTCATACTTGGGTGTTGCTTTACCTCCTTATATGAGCTCATTCATATGCATTAGTTCTTGTGAACTCCTTAGCAATTCCATGAGTTGGGTACTATTGCTCCTATTTGACAGATGGGGAAACTGAGGTTCAGAAGGCCAAAGTTACCTGTCCCAGGTCACAGAGCAAGTAAGTGGTGGAGTTCAGAATTGAACATACTGCGCACTGTACAGAGAAGTCACCTCTACCACTCTCCCTTCCACCACTTATTTTCCTAGGGTGCAGGGCACGAATTGTGAAATTGCAACTTCTCAGACATATGACCTCTCATCCCTCAAGAGGCTGTGTTTTTTTCATGTGTCAAGAAAACCAAACATCTAGTACAGAGGTGGCAAATGGGTTTCATCTTTAGGACAACTCCCTTCGATTGACTGCTCAGAACAAAGCATCGAATTGTGTGAGGCCACGTCCTGGCGCAGCAGGAAAGAATATCACTGTTGATTGGCACTGTCTGCTGTGGACGCAGGCGAGGGCAGGGCCAGCACACATCTCCAGGAAGACCTAGAGGTGACAAAGGGTGTCCTCTACACATTTACCAGGACATGGGTAGGCCAGATATCAACCCTTAAGTTGATGCCCACGTGTAACGAGTCTAGTTCTTCTGGCTTAAATTATCCAAAAATGTGCCTTGTCTCATCCTAAATTTAGCAGCACAGTACAAAGGAGAAATTTCAGAATGTATGTTCTCTTGGTAAGGTAGGCACTGGAAGGCATTCACATCTGGATCTGACATCTGAAGCCCGTGGCTCTGGAACATAAGCCGTTTCCTCACAGAAAGTTCCAACAAGGAGAAGAAAATCTTGGAACCAATCTTCCCTTTGCCTACAAAATGATCAAACTGTAATTATCACATTTAAGGGGTAATTGTTCCAATTATACCAGAATGGGATGCTCCAACCCTCTTTCTGCTGCTGGCACAAATAGAATGGCTGTGAAGATGGAACGGTGTTTCCAGAACAGCTTGCTCTGAGCTTGTTCTTTTTATAGCGACGCTCAGGTCAGGGAAAGGTGCTGTGTGGGGGAGCCCTGTCGGGTCTGCTGGGTGCCAGCCTCTGAAGCTCTTCCCTCTTTACCGCTGGGCCCTTGGAGACCCGGACCTCAAAGTAGCACCCACCTTGACCTAAGGCATTAGAACTTGAATCATTCTTGTCCGATCCCAGGACTTGGATAGGAGGTCGGACAGTTCTCAGATATGCCCTAGGGCAGTGGTCGGCAAACTGCGGCTCACGAGCCACATGCAGCTCTTTAGCCCCTTGAGTGTGGCTCTTCCACAAAGTACCACGTGCTGGCGCACACATACAGTGCAACTGAAACTTCGTGACC